GGATTATCTGAGAGAAAATGGAATTCTCTCGCATTTTAATGCACCTTACACACCACACCAAAATAGTGTCTCCGAAAGGAGAAACAGGACCTTGTTAGACATGGTCAGGTCTATGATGAGTGAGACTCAACTTCCAAAATCGTTTTGGGGATATGCCTTAGATACGGCGGCATACCTTCTAAATAGGGTACCGTCTAAATCTGTTCAGACCACACCATATGAGATATGGAATGGTAAGAGACCCAATATGAGTTACCTCAGGGTATGGGGATCGCCAGCATATGTCAAAGCGTTAGCATCAGACAAGCTTAGTGCTAAGAGTACTAAATGTCTATTTGTGGGGTATCCCAAAGGTACTAAGGGATACTACTTTTACTCCATGGATGAACACAAGGTGTTTGTGTCCAAGAATGTTGAGTTCCTTGAGAAGGATTTGATCTCTCAAGGAGCCAGTGGGAGTAAGATTGATCTTGAAGAAGTTCAAGGACCACAAGAACAGATTGAGGAACCCGAGTCTGCTCCGCAGGAGACGTTCTCCAATGGAGAAGTAAACACACAACTCCGTAGGTCTACTAGGGTCATCCATCCACCTGAGAGGTATGGGCTTGTGATTGAGAATCAACAAACCGAGGATGATGAACCTAGTAACTATGAGGAGGCAGTCAAGGATGTTGACTCCTCTAAATGGCTTGAAGCCATGGAATCTGAAATAGATTCGATGCATCAAAACAAGGTATGGAATAGTTCCTATCGGTAATAAATGGGTCTTTAAAAGAAAGACTGATGCAAATGGCAACGTTCAAACCTACAAAGCTAGGTTGGTTGCGAAAGGATATCGTCAAAGAGAAGGAGTTGACTATGATGAGACTTTCTCACTAGTTTCCATGATCAAATCTATTAGGATCATGCTTGCAATAGCAGCATATCACGACTATGAAATTTGGCAAATGGATATCAAGACCGCCTTCTTGAATGGATTCTTGAAGGAGGAAGTGTACATGACACAACCTGAAGGTTTTGAAGCCAAAGGTCAACAGCATATGGTATGCAAGCTTCAAAGGTCGATATATGGGCTAAAGCAAGTATCAAGGAATTGGAATATTCGTTTTGATGAAGTCGTTAGGAGTAACGGTTTCATCAAGAACGAGGATGAAACTTGTGTTTACAAGAAGGTTAGTAGGAGTAATGTCGTCTTTCTGGTACTTTATGTAGATGACATATTGCTAATAGGAAATGACATCCCCACATTACAAACAACGAAAGACTGGCTTTCAGAAAGCTTCACCAAGAAGGATTTCGGAGAAGCGGCCTTTATACTTGGTATAAAGATCTATAGAGATAGATCCAAGAGGCTGTTGGGTTTATCTCAATCCACGTATATTGACAAGATGCTAAAGAGGTTTAGCATGGAAGGGTCAAAAAAGGGTTTTTTCCTGTCAGTCATGGGGTACATCTTTCAAAGGCTATGTGTCCTAAGTCACAGAATGAGAAGGATCGCATGAGTGGAATTCCTTACGCTTCAGCTGTTGGATCCATCATGTATGTCATGATATGTGCGAGACCAGATGTCTCATATGCTTTGAGCATTACGAGCAGATACCAGTCTGACCCTGGAGAGGGTCACTGGACAGCAGTCAAGACCATCCTTAAGTACTTGAGAAGAACTAAGGATGCGTTTCTGGTCTATGGTGGGGTTGATGAGCTTTCAGTGAAAGGATTCATTGATGCCAGCTTTCAGAGTGACAAAGATGACTACAAGTCACAGTCAGGATTCGTATTCATCTTATATGGTGGGGCAGTATCTTGGAAGAGTTCCAAGCAGGACACAACAACAGATTCAACGATAGATGCTGAATACATAGCTGCTTCAGAAGCGGCTAAGGAGGCCGTGTGGATCAAGAAGTTCATATCTGAACTAAGGGTGGTTCCAAGCATGGATGAGCCCATACGGTTGCTTTGCGACAACACATGAGCCATTGCGTAGTCAAAGGAACCTAGGTCTCATCAAAGATCTAAGCACGTGCTCCGCTGATATCACCTGATTAGAGAAATCATTGATAGAATGGATGTAAAGATGGATTATGTACCCACAGATGATAACCTAGCCGATTCTGTAACGAAAGCTGTTTCTCAGAGAAAACATGATAGTCATTATGAGGCTTTAGGTATACGACTTAGGTCAGATTGGCTCTAGGCCAAGTGGGAGCTTGTTAGTATATGGATGTCCTAGAGACAATCTTTTGTTTAGATTAGGAACTATGTGGACCTTTTTATATTGTCGCAAATAAATAATAAGCACTCTTTATCCTGTTTCATATTTTGTCCCAACATTATTGTTAATATATTATATGAGTAACTGGATAAACCCCTTGGAATAAAATATGTATCTTTTGAGTATCTGTGATGAGATCACGATCATGAGGATTTAAGGATACCAGATGTTTATTCCTAATTTTATGTTCCTAGTCTAGAGACACTGAGAATGGGGATCAGTAATCTCGGGTAAGACTAACACGACTTATCTACTTTTATTCAGATACAAGGTAAAGACCTCATGAGCTACAGATATGGAGATGTTTTTGAAAGTTAAATTGACCTTGAAGGCCGAAGCATGTGAGAGGGAAAAAAAATTCATGCGGAATCACATATGCAATCAAGACTCATGCTTTAAGACAGCATGATGTTACCTTTGTTTGTGATTCAAACACCAAGGAGATCAGTGTAAGGTTTGAAGGGTTCAAACCCTCTAACGTTGATCCACACCACCCACGTCAAGATGCAAGAACTCTTCTTGAAAAGCCACCAATTGATCACCACAAAAGCTTGCTAGGCGTCTAATGTGTGAAGGAGGAGGCTAGGTTAAGGTGTTTAGAAAAGTGAAATTTTCAGCTTAAAACCCCACAAAAGTGGCGCATGGATTTGATGATATATGGCTAGGTTATTTTTCAAAACCTCTTAAGAAAAACCTAACAAAAGGATGACCAAAGGAGATGAGAGAACTATCAAAATTGGATCAGATTTTTCTCTTAAAATCTAACCATAAGTAGCGCACAATAAAGAGGAAAAATGGAGTTTTGCAAAATCAAATCTTGCCAACAACCTCCTATCATATCCTCATGATATCAAGTCAATATCTTAACAAAAATTTGACTTAAAAACCATCATATGGCAAGCTGATGTGGTGTAATATATTTCATTTTCCAAGTTAAAATACTAAGCTTTAAGGTCAAAAGAGCATACTTATCAATACATTTTATGGATTAATTGTTAGTTTTTCATTTTCAATGTTATTTCTCACTCAAGTTTATATTTGGATAGGAATTTAGCATGGAAAATGAAAATTTGCGCAGAAGGAGAATTTGGATCAGATGGGCGGCGCTATCAGCGCGGAACAAATGCATTTTCAGTGAAAAATCTGCGCCATCAGCGCGGAAGAAGTATGACCGGCGCTGATAGCGCGGATCAATTCAAATTCAGTACAAAAACGGCACCATCAGCGCCGGTTTTCGAGCAGGAAGACACCGTGTTTTGAACGCGTGCGTGCAAAATTAAAAGGGGGGGATCAGAAGACAAAGAGAGATAGACAGAGAGCTTGAAAAGAACGTCTGGAGCTTTTTGCGGAGATTGATCTTAGAGATTATTTTCTCTTCCTTTTGAATTCTTATTCTTCTTTTATGAATCATTGTAATTCAGCTATGACCATGTCTGGCTAGTTTCCTTCATTGTGTGTAGGGTCACAAACCCTATGTGAACCTTTTGTTTATTTATAGATTGGTTTACTTTTCGCTCTTTAATTTAATTGATTTATGCCTACTCTGTGCGTATTGCTTATCGTTTATATTAAATCTGATCAGTTTAGTATTGAATGATAATCTGAGGGTTAGAACCCTAGATAGGAATATTGGGGTTTTGGTCCAGAAAGGGGGTAGGATAATAATTGACATGTGTGCTAGGAATAGATGCATTCTTGATTACAAACGTTTAATTTATCTGTGTAATGCTTGATCTCAATTGAAACTTGCAAGGAATTGGGGTTCTAATTGTGATTAAAGGGCTAAATTTGCAAGGAATTGGGGTTTAGCTAATAATTGTTTGGATGATAAATTGTTTGGTTATTTATTTTAATTGAGCATTGTGAATCAATCCGTAGTAAAAAGTGGGAATCATAGGGCGAGTGTACTTACCTGCAATATCTCACATATTTTTACCCAAAACATTTTGCATCATTCTCTTATTTTAAAATCCAAAAATACGTCTTTGCCTTTAATTTCTATTGTTCTTTAAATCACTTGAGTTTCATATCTTGAGAGGACGTTTATAAGATATTCGCTCACAATCCCTGTGGAGATGATAACTTACTTATCACTTTATTACTTGAACGATCGGTACACTTGCCGGTTTGCATCAAGTTTTTGGCGCTGTTGCCGGGGATTGTGATTTCTTATATCTTATAATCTTGAATTTCAAGATTTTTCTTTCTTTTTGTGATTATTTTATTTTATTTTCTTCTGTTCTTGTTTTAATTTGTCTTGAACATTGCTACTAATCTTCTCTTGAAGTTTTATGCGAGGCAAGGTTGATCCTACAAAATTGTTATTTGATCCTGAAATTACAAGGTCTGAAAGAGAAACAGGAGACTTGCTCGGAAGAAATCAAAAGTGTCAAGTGCTCAATCTGAAGAAGCACCTGAAATTCCAACCATGGCAGCGAATAATGAAGCTGAAAATCCGCTCATGGATACCATCCTCACTCCAGCCTTCAACAGGCCTAATTCAAGTATTGTCCAACCGAATATTGCTGACAATAATTGGGAGTTGAAGTCTTCCATAATTCAGTTGGTGCAGAGAACTCAATTTGGAGGAGATGAGCATGAGGATCCTCACAGGTTCATAGACCGGTTCTTAATGATCTGTGACTCAACCAAGCACCCTCGGGTGTCTGATGATGCTATCCGGTTGAGATTATTCCCTTTTGCTGTAAAGGGATAAGCACTTAGCTGGATGGAGAGGCAGCCTGCACGGAGCATAGCTACATGGGATGATTTGTCTACAAAATTCTTTGCGGAGTTCTTTTCCATGGAGAGATACAATCAAATGGTGAATGATATCACCAACTTCACTCAAACTGAGGGTGAAACATTATGTGCAGCATGGAACAGGTTCAAGGACTTGATGAGGAGGTGCCCTCATTATAATTTGACTGCTGGTGATCAAGTCAGAATGTTTTTTAATGGCATCACACCTGAAGATAGAATGGTTTTGAATGGTGCAGCTGGTGGTACTATTAAAACCATGAGGGCGAATGAAACTCTGGAGCTGATAGAGAGGATGGCCAGGAATGAAAATCAAGGGGTATCTTCAAAGTCTAAGAAAGGTAGCCTTCATCTAGAAAGTAATGAGTCAGTTCTGGCTGAAAATAAATTGCTAGCTCAACAAATGGCTAGTTTGACTTCCAGGCTTGACAAGATGCAAATCACTGGAGTTCAAGCTCAGTCTGTTGCCTTTGTCTGTGACTACTATACGGACAGTCATGCTCTTAATGAATGTCCATCTCTTGCTTCTTCTGATTCACCTCAACAAATGCAGGTGAATGGTATATGTATGACCAGCGCCCTCAGCAGCCAAATCTTCAGAGAAATCAGAATTTTTCTGGTGGTGGTGGTAACAATTTTCAGCGGAGAGCTCAGGGAGTTGGCATGGATTTTAAATCTAATAATTATACTCAGCCTTCACAGAGTCAACAACGAGAGCCTGCTGAGTGGGAAAAAGCCTTTGCACAAATGGCCAAGACTTCTAATGAGATGGCTCAGTCCACTAATACCTTTATGGAGGAGACTAGAGCCAACGACAAAAATACAAATGCTTCCATAAAGAACCTGGAGAATCAGATAGGCCAATTGGCAAAGCAAGTTTCAGAAAGAATTTCAGGTACTTTTCCAAGTAATACAGTTATCAATCCAAAGGAAGACTGCATGGCTATTATTACTAGAAGTGGCAAAGTGGTAGCGCCTCTTAAAAATCCAATTCTAGATTATGCGGAAGAGGAAGAGAAGCATGATGGAGCAGTCGAGCCAGAGGTTGAGGTAATTGTGAAAGAAAAAAACAAAGAAATTGTTACTGAAAAAGAAAAGGTTGAAGAGCGACCTGTTGTGGTTGAGAAAAAGCATGAGCTGAGTCCTGAATATGTGCGGTCTAAAGCACCTTACCCAGAGAGGTTTAAGAAAGAGGCTTATAACAAGCAGTATGGCAGGTTTTTAGACATCTTCAAGAAGCTGCACATAAACATCCCTTTTGCAGAAGCTTTGGCAAGTATGCCGGTTATTCAAAATTCATGAAGGATCTTTTGTCAAGGAAGCATAAGCTACAAGAATGCCAGACAGTGACACTTACTGAGAAGTGTAGTGCCTTTATTCAGCAGAAGATTCCGGCTAAGCTTAGTGATCCGGGGAGTTTTAATATCCCTATTGCTATTGGCAATATTGGCATTGGTAGAGCTCTTTGTGATCTTGGGGCTAGTATCAACTTGATGCCTTTTTCTGTTTATAAGTCTTTGGGGATTGAAGAATTGAAGCCTACAGAGGTCTCTCTTCAACTTGCTGATAGATCCGTGAGGACACCTAATGGGATTATAGAAGATGTTCTTGTCAAGGTTGACAAGTTTATCTTTCCTGCTGACTTTGTGGTGTTGGATATGGAGGAAGGAAGTGGAAAGCCTTTGCTCTTAGGTAGGCCCTTTTTGGCTACAGCCCGTGCTCTAATAGATGTTGAGCAAGGAATGATTAAGTTGAGGATGAATAATTAGGAGATTACTTATAATGTTTCTGAGGCTATGAAAAGACCCGCTGAGCATAGTGATTGTTTTCAAATTGATGTTTTTCAAGAAATAGTTCAACAGAAGAAGGTGCGTCCTCAAGAGATTGATTATGAGTTGAGAGCCTGTGATCATGTGCCCTTCGAAAAAAAGGAAGTTGCTGTGGAGGTGCTTAAAGAAAAAGCTGATGACATAGAGGTTGGGGCACCTAAGGTTGAATTGAAAATTCTGCCTAATACTTTGAAATATGTATTCTTGGGAGATGAAGAGACATACCCTGTAATCATCAATAAGGGACTATCTTCTGACCAAGAAAAGAAGCTGGTTGAAGTTCTAAAAACTCGTAAGACTGCCATAGGGTGGTCTATTTCTGATTTGAATGGAATAAGCCCCTTTGTTTGCGCGCAAAAAATTCTCATGGAAGATGACATCAAACCTATAAGGCAACCGCAAAGAAGGCTAAACCCGATGATGAAGGAGGTGGTCAGAAAAGAAGTTGTGAAGCTTCTTGATGCAGGTATGATTTACCCTATTTCATATGCTGCTTGGGTAAGTCCGGTTCAGACAGTTCCGAAGAAGGGTGGTGTGACTGTAGTAAAAAATGCAAAGCATGAGTTAATTCCAACTAGAACCATCACAGGTTGGAGAATGTGTGTGGACTACAGAAGGTTGAACACAGCCACAAGGAAAGATCATTTTCCACTGCCCTTTATTGATCAGATGCTGGAAAGACTGGCGGGCCATGATTATTATTGCTTCTTGGATGGGTATTCAGGCTACAATCAAATTCCTGTAGCTCCTGAAGACCAGGAGAAGACATCTTTCACTTGCCCATTTGGAGTCTTTGCCTATAGACGAATGTCGTTCGACCTCTGTAATGCACCTGCAACTTTCCAAAGGTGTATGCTCTCTATCTTTTCTGATATGGTAGAGAAATATTTAGAGGTATTTATGGATGATGATGCTATCCGGCAAGTATACCGTTTCGCATAAGTAGTAAAGTAGTAAGAAAGATCGTCTCCTCAGGGATTGAAAACCAAGTACTAAAATAATCAGTCACTTTAAGTTGAAAAGCTTGATCTCTTGTTGGGAAAATTAAATTGAATCTTAGTAACCATAAAAGTAAAGACTTATTTTTGAGTTTTTGTATTTTCAAGAATGAAAAGAAGAATAATAATGGAGTTGGTTTTGAAAATATGAGAAAGAATTGCAGTTAGGGAACACTCTCCCTATGATCCCCACTTATTACTTTGGATTGATACAAAATACTTATTTATATAATTTCTCAGATAATTATGATCTCAATATATTAATAATTAAATCCCAATCCCTTGGTAACTTAACCCTTTAACCTCACTTAGAATCCTAATCCCTTAGTAACCCCTCATGAGAATTAAGCAATGAACACAATAATTCCAACATCTGCAATTAAATATACATCTATCCCTAGTATGCATACCAATAGTTATCTTATCTCCTTTCAAGATCAGAAACCCCAATATCCCTATTTAAGGTTCTAACCCTCAAACTATTTTCAACTATCAAATTGATCAAGTTTAATAAAGAAAATATCAAATACGAACAAGGTAAGATAAAGAAATTTATATAAACGAGTAAAATAATTTAAATCAATCCGTCATAACAAGGGTTCACATAGGGTTTGTGACCCTAACTACAATAAAAGAACTTAGCCAGACATAGTCATATATGACATAAACAAATATTCAAAAGAAAGCATAAAAACTATAATTACTGGAAAGAATGGAGAAGAAATCTTGATCTTCAGTCACCCTCTGCTTGCTCCGAGTTGTTAATTGGTTACTTGGTTGTGCTCCCAAGCTCCTTATTTATAGCCACAGGAATTGGGCCCATCATCTAATCTTCCTTGGAGTCCATCCAAGATTTGTATTTGATTTAAACTTTGTTTCCTTTTTCATGTAAAAATCTTGGAGATTTGATTGATAAATTAGAATTTCAAATCTTTATTGTATCTTGATTCAATCTTCTCATAAATCATCTAGATTTGTTTCCGCTTTAATTCCATATCTTTTCTGAATAAATCTTCATCAAATCTTTATGGAATCTGTCGCGATCTTGATCATATCTTTTTCGCATCTCTTTGTAATCTTATCTCTAATTTGGAAAGAGATCTAATTGCTGAATATCCACACTTTATTTTTAAATCTTTTCCTTTTCCAAAATTGCCCCGTTTGTTTGCTTTTTCCTACAAAATTAGCATAAAATCAGTATTCAATCCTTGATTAAGATTTTGACAAATTAACAGTGATTCTTGCTCTTTTTCTCAAGATTTCATCAACATTCTTTCTCTTTTTTGGCTCAGATTTCCTTATATGCTAAGCGCATATCAAATAATTCCCAGATTTAAACGTTGCTGTCCCCAGCAATGTACAAGACTCAATCCAGGAAACAATCAATTATTCCAACACAACATCACACAGACAATCAAGAGATCACTAAGCTAAGCATGACTGAATCAATGCAAAGAACTCCTAACAATGCCTTCTATTCTCATGAAAATGTCAGAACCTAGCTTGAACACCCCTCACCAAGATAATCATATAACGTTCAGCACTCAAGTGTTTAAGGGAGTAACAATCACTCAATCCATCACAGCAATAACATTACCATAAGCTTGATCATATTCTCAAGTTCCTAAAGATGAGGAACATTAACACATGCATAATTGATCAAAAGGACTTCAAAGGTTGTAACTTGGCCGGGTTAATGAGTAGGAATATATGGAAAGTAGCTCAAACAACACTGAGATTGAAAAACTGATATTATTTCATTTTTAACACATTCAACTCAATGATTTTGCTCCACTCACATTCCCATAGAATTTCGGGAATTAATTCCTTTCAGCCACCTTTTCTTTACATTCACCCTTTTTCTTTTCTTTTTTCTTTTTTTTCGAAACTTTTTGTTTTAAGGGAACAGATGAAATTTTATCTCCCCTAATTACTTGACCTTTGTGGAGCTTACCTCAATTTATTTGTTTTATTTTCAACACAACAGTAATTCAATCTCAATTAAGGTAAGTCACTTGGATATGGGCTAAGCCATCAATCAGGAATTATGAACAAAAAGGTTCAGGCTCAAAGGGGTTAGCAATGGAAAAATTCATACAGGTGAGTTATTTTTTTGCCATGGCTAACAGAATAAAATTGCCTTAATAATTTCAATCAATGCATGCATCTTAAAGAAACAGAGCAAGTTCTAGAATGCTATCACAGTGAGGTCTCTCAGAATAAAATAAGTGTTTAAGCACAAAACCTCACCAGCTATGATGTCAAGCTAGACTTCCAAAAGAAACATCAGGCAACATTAATCATTCAAGCACAAAATTCAGACAAACGAGCAATCATGAAATCTACTCATGCCCATACGATATCATGCCAGAAGTTCATACAATATATTTCCAAGAATTCAGTCAAGCACATTAACTAGATAAGCACATTTAAACCTGAGAATTGCTTGAAATACAAATCACTGTTTTATTTTATTTTTTAAATAAAAATAAAGAGCACACAAAATACTAAAAAAAATAACTAAGAAATTTAAAAGAGTTAGAATATCTCCCCTGATAGAATTGCAGCAGTTCTCAGGTGCAAGCATACCATTCCCAGATTTAGAGAATTGCTGTCCTCAACAATAATTAAACCACAAGAAGGAAGAAAAACCTGCACAATAGAACAAAGAGTGGCATATAGAATAAACTATAATGCGCACATCAAAACTTCAGAGAAAAATATACCAACGTAAAGCCACTAAAAATAAAAATAAAAATACGAAACAGAAAAATAAACTAATATACAAAATCTCCGTCAACAAGGAGATATAATCAACCCTCCATGTCATCCCCCTCAGCAGCGTGGGATGACTCAGCAAATGGAAGGTCTGGTGGTACTGGATGCCTAGGTGTAGAAGACCACCATTCCCAGATTTGTTCCAAACCATGTAGCCATGTTAAGAACTCTTTGAAATTTTGATTTTTCTGAGATATAGAATCTCGGTGTCTCTTGTCAAACTTCAGCTTCTGGTGTCTCTTCCAACTCGTATCAAAAATTTTGACCACCTCATTTCTTAATACCTTTTTCTGTATAGGATGACGCCTCCTTTTGGGTTTTCTCTCATATTTGTCACCATCCTCATTGGGAATTTTGTTGGTATGGGAAGATGGATCTTTATTTTTCAATTCAGTTTCCTCTTCCTTCAGTGCTTCAATCACCGCTTCCTCATTACCCAAGAAGACATTTTTTTGAGGTTGAGGAAGCTCCTTCAAAGTCACCTTCATGGCACCATCTTTCTGGGCATCATCCGCTACACTTTGTTTTTCCTTAAAGACTTCAAGACTAAAACAATCGTCTTTGTGAGAAGACTGTTTTAGAGAATCAAAGACGTTGATGGTAACGGTCTCATCATTCATCCTTAGCTTAAGCTTCCCGTTTTCAACATCAATCAGTGCCCGAGCAGTGGCCAAGAAAGGTCTACCCAGCAAAAGAGGCATCTCAGCTCCTCCTTCCATGTCCAACACTACAAAATCAGCAGGAAAGATGAACTTGTCCACCTTCACAAGAACATCTTCAATAATCCCGTTAGGTTTCCTCACAGATCTATCAGCAAGTTGAAGAGAAACTTCTGTGGGTTTCAATTCTTCAATTCCCAGTGACTTATAAATAGAAAGAGGCATCAAGTTGATACTAGCCCCAAGATCACAAATAGCTCTGCCAATGGCAATATCATCAATAGTAATGGGAATATTAAAACTACCTGGATCACGAAGCTTAGCTGGAATCTTCTGCTGAATGAATGCACTACTTTTTGCAGTAAGTTCAACGGTTTGGCATTCTTGCAGTTTATTCTTCTTCAACAGATCCTTCATGAATTTTGCATATCCAGGCATATTTGCTAAGGCTTCTGCAAAAGGAATATTGATGTGCATCTTCTTGAAGATGTCTAAGAACCTGTCATAATGCTTGTTAGTAACCTCTTTCTTGAACCTTTCTGGGTAAGGTGCTTGAGCCATTATATATTCATGGGTCAATGGGCAATTCTTATCAAAGAAAGATGGTTTTTCCTTTTCAATGACGGCTTCTTTCTCCTTTTCTTTCACAATTACTTCAGCCTCTGGTTCAACTGCTCCTTTCTGCTTCTCCTCTTGTTCCTTGTCTTCCGCACGATCAAGAATTGGATTTGCAAGCGGTGCTACAACTTTGCCACTTCTAGTGGTAATAGCCATGCAGTCTTCCTTTGGATTGATAACTGTATTACTAGGAAAAGTACCTGGAATTCTTTCTGAAACCTGCTTTGCAAGTTGACCTATCTGATTCTCCAGGTTCTTTATGGAAGCACTTGTATTTTTGTTGTTGGCTCTTTGCTCCTCCATGAAAGCATTTGAATGTTGAGCCATCTGTGCCACTAGCTTTTCCAATTCAGAGGGTTCCTTTGCTTGAATTTGTGGAGGCTGCTGGTAGTTATTAGATTTGTAATCCATGCCAGCTCCTTGAGTTCTTCGCTGAAAATTTCCACCACCACCTCCAGCACCATAGTTATTGATCCTTGGAAAGTTTGACGGCTGAGGGCGCTGGTCATACCATATTCCATTCACCTGTACTTGTTGAGGTGAATCATCTGATAACGAATTAGAGCATTCGTTGGATTCGTGAGCTTCCTGAGGAGTTGATTGAACATGAGACACTTGGAATTTTTGAAATTGCTGCGCCAAACTGTCAAACTTACTATCAATCTTTTTGGATAACAGTTCAGCGAGCAAAGTGTCATTGTTTTCTTGCTTTATCACTCCTCTTTTTACTGAGGTTGGAACACTCTCATTTTCATGTCTTGCCAGCTTCTTTATCAGATTGAGAGCTTGCTCTGAGGTACTCTGCCAAATAGAACCTCCAGCTGCACCATTAATCACCAACCTTGTTTTAGGAGAAATGCCATTAAAGAAAATTGCTACCTTTCTGTCATTGTCTCCTTCCCATTGTGGACACTTCTAGATAAGTTCTTGGAATCTATTCCAAGTTGCACACAATGATTCTCCTTCAAATTGATGGAAATTTGTGATTGCATTTACCAGCTGATTATATTTATCCATAGAAAAGAAATGGGCAAAGAATTTGTTTGACAAATCTTCCCATGTTGAGATACTATTTGCTGGTTGCCTTTCTATCCATTTGAGAGCACTTCCCTTAACAGCAAAAGGGAACAGTCGGAGCCTGATAGCATCAGCAGACACTCCATTGTGCTTTGTAGTGTCACAGATCATCAGAAATCGATCTATGAACTCATGAGGGTCTTCCTCGTCAGCACCAGAATATTGAGCTCTTGCCACCAAAGAAATCAATGATGGTTTCAACTCAAAATTGTTTGCCTCCACCGTCGGCCTGACTATGCTTGAGTTTGGCCTATTGAACACTGGTGTCAGAATACTTTCCAACAATCTTGGGGGTGGATTAATTGCATTGTGGCCTCTGCCACCATCAGCGTTGTTGTTTCCTTCCATCTCTTGTTTTGGTTGTGCAGGTACGCTTTTCAAATCTTCCCAAATTATCTGCCTAGCCGCCTTCCTCAGTCTCCTCTCAGTCCTTGAAATTTCAGGATCAAGCAAAAAGTCTTTAGGTGGAAGTCTACCTCGCATAAAACTCAGAAAAATTTGTTAATAGCACCTGTAAAATGCAAACAAGAATAATAAAATAAAATAAAATAAAATTCAATCTCAAAGATCAAAGGTTATTTATAATATTGAAATTTTCAATCCCCGGCAACGGCGCCAAAAACTTGATGCTATCCGGCAAGTATACCGTTTCTCATAAGTAGTAAAGTAGTAAGAAAGATCGTCTCCTCAGGGATTGAAAACCAAGTACTAAAATAATCAGTCACTTTAAGTTGAAAAACTTGATCTCTTGTTGGGAAAATTAAATTGAATCTTAGTAACCATAAAAGTAAAGACTTATTTTTGAGTTTTTGTATTTTCAAGAATGAAAAGAAGAATAATAATGGAGTTGGTTTTGAAAATATGAGAAAGAATTGCAGTTAGGGAACACTCTCCCTATGATCCCCACTTATTACTTTGGATTGATACAAAATACTTATTTATATAATTTCTCAGATAATTATGATCTCAATATATTAATAATTAAATCTCAATCCCTTGGTAACTTAACCCTTTAACCTCACTTAGAATCCTAATCCCTTAGTAACCCCTCATGAGAATTAAGCAATGAACACAATAATTCCAACATCTGCAATTAAATATACATCTATCCCTAGTATGCATACCAATAGTTATCTTATCTCCTTTCAAGATCAGAAACCCCAATATCCCTATTTAAGGTTCTAACCCTCAAACTATTTTCAACTATCAAATTGATCAGGTTTAATAAAGAAAATATCAAATACGCACAAGGTAAGATAAAGAAATTTATATAAACGAGTAAAATAATTTAAATCAATCCGTCATAACAAGGGTTCACATAGGGTTTTGTGACCCTAACTACAATAAAAGAACTTAGCCAGACATAGTCATATCTGACATAAACAAATATTCAAAAGAAAGCATAAAAACTATAATTACTGGAAAGAATGGAGAAGAAATCTTGATCTTCAGTCACCCTCTGCTTGCTCCGAGTTGTTAATTGGTTCCTTGGTTGTGCTCCCAAGCTCCTTATTTATAGCCACATGAATTGGGCCCATCATCTAATCTTCCTTTGAGTCCATCCAAGATTTGTATTTGATTTAAACTTTGTTTCCTTTTTCATGTAAAAATCTTGGAGATTTGATTGATAAATTAGAATTTCAAATCTTTATTGTATCTTGATTCAATCTTCTCACAAATCATCTAGATTTGTTTCCGCTTTAATTCCATATCTTTTCTGAATAAATCTTCATCAAATCTTTATGGAATCTGTCGCGATCTTGATCATATCTTTTTCGCATCTCTTTGTAATCTTATCTCTAATTTGGAAAGAGATCTAATTGTTGAATATCCACACTTTATTTTTAAATCTTTTCCTTTTCCAAAATTGCCCCGTTTGTTTGCTTTTTCCTACAAAATTAGCATAAAATCAGTATTCAATCCTTGATTAAGATTTTGACAAATTAACAGTGATTCTTGCTCTTTTTCTCAAGATTTCATCAACATTCTTTCTCTTTTTTGGCTCAGATTTCCTTATATGCTAAGCGCATATCAATAGGCCACAGTGGAATTCCACAAATGATGGTGTCGTGCATGGAATTTCCAGTGTGATGGCACGCGCACGACGGTGCTATGAGCATGATGAAGGCGTTATATACGGAATATGATGGCACGCGCACGACGGTGCTATAAGCGTGATGAAGGCGTTATATACGGAATATGATATATGATGAAAAGGATATATGATGAAAATGTTTATGATGAAAAGGATTTCATGTTTGAAGCGACTGTTCATAATTTTGTGCCTAGTTTAATACTGTTGCATTATTGGTTTTGTTGCCACACTACTGGGATTTTTCTCACCCCTTTGGAGCTGCTATTTTTATAAAATGGCAGGAGGACATAAAAGCTTTTGAGGACTTGGATATTTGCTGTTGGTTTCTGCTATTGGGCATGCTGTTGTGATTGTATTATTTTCATGGATGACTGTACTAATTGTGGATGTTTAAATTATTAGTGAACTATGTTTGCATTCTGTTTTAAGACTTTTAAGAACAGCAAGTGTTTTGAAACGGATTTCATAACCATTTTTACGAAAACTGATTCATGACGTTTTGAAAGCTAAGTTAAAACTGTTTGTGCGATGTTATCAAAAAAAAAAAAAAACTGTTTGTGCGAGCATTTTGTAGGTTGGCGTCCCGGGGCTACGGACCTATGATTTTCTTATAATTTATATGCACGCGTAGCCCCAGGTGTCTAGTTTCATTATATACAAAACTTTCAACGAAATTCTGAAAGCTCGATTTATTATGATTTTTTCAAGTCAGGTCGTTTGATATAAATTCACTGATTTTAACTCTTGACTTACGAGTTATGTTTCGAGGGGCAAACGACCTTCAAATTACTATTATTTTATATGAACGCGAAGCCCCGGATTTCTAGTTTCTAGATTACAAAGAATATTTTTTGAATCGTTGAAGTAAATTTTATACGAATTTTTAAATACAGCAAGGTCTGCTAGGAAAGTTATATTTTCAGTAGTTGAGAAATTTTGAAAGTATACTCTGATTTTTGTGACGAACCCGATTTCAATTATACGTTTTAATTGGCATTGTAAAAGTGATTTTCAGTCTCTAAAATATGATTAAAGAACTATAATCCGCTTAGCAAACAACTCTCTTGGATGCATACAAGGGAGGGTGTTACAACAACTTTCTGTATATCAGTCCTTGCACTGATAATGCAACACACAACTTTATTGTACATCAGTCCTTGCACTGATAATACAATACACAACTTTATTGTACATCAGCCCTTGCACTGGTAATACAATTTCATCATTCAATGGTACCCTAGTCCTTTCACTAGTCATATCATTTTCACACTCAATTTCGTTTTACTCTAATGCATGTATCTACACTTAATGTAATTACCTATCAATTTTCATCACACTAGATGAGTATTATTTAGAAAACATTTCTAAAATTTCATACCTTTAGCTATCCTGAGGTTTTCCTCCCCAGTAAGTGGCTCATATATATAAGTCTGACCTCCTGTTTGAGACCCATCAATTTTCCTGCTCACTTCTACCCTTGGTGGTTGTAGAATATTCATTACATTGAAAATACCTCCACTCCGTCCATCAACCCATATCAAATACTAAATGATTTCACAAGCATACTACTATTAGTGGTACATATATAGATCACTAGATCATAATTCCTTTACAATTCTCATTATTGTCTTACACCTGACTATACATTTCAACCATCCTATTCATTTATCACTGACATGTCTCCCAATTTGAATCGACATCCATTAACTACAATAGTGCCTTCATCGTACATTTATCTTATGTCATCCATGGTTATTTTCTCAATTTCATCCTTCTACACATACTACGTAATTACTTCATCTCACCTATGTTTACTCAACACTAACTCCTTATGGATTTCAATCCCATATTTCAATGTCTCTCAAATTAAAAATTCACCGGCACAATAATTTCAAGTGTTCAAATCCCTTAGGATTAGACATCAAATATTCCATTTGTTTCTCTACATTAACCACCCCAATTTATTCAAGTGTACACCATCTATCAGGGACTTATAACTTCTAATCAAACATAAAATATTCAAACTCATACTAAGCATACCTGTTCACATTTTTCAATAATCCATCAGGTTCTAAGTCACTCACCTTAATGAAGTCCATTCACAAAGTCCACCTGTACATAATTATTGTACTACACTACACAAGTACATAGGAATCTTACTAATACTATCTTCATACTATACACTCCTCTCAAATATATATTTATTATCCACAGTACTACAATTTCACCTATGCTGATACTGTACAATTTCATCGAAAGTTAGACAAAATACTTAAGTCTGTTTTCCTTAAGTCCTCTAATCTTCACACTTCACTTAATGCCATCTTTTGTCCATTGAGCAGTCAACACTGCAGCCACAACCTCAGGCTAAAGACTCACATTCGGTGCTCCAAGGTTGCCACGCAGGCTTCTTACGATGACCACACATGTAACACAAAGGAATGGGCTGATCAGACCCTCACTAAGGAATCACATATGCAGTAATCGATAAGAATCTACATACAACTATGCAGCACATAACACATCTATACATTAACAGAGTTCCCTAACAAAACTGCTCTGATACCATAAAATGTAACAGCCCGTTGTACACCAGTATTGTTAACATTAATTATGATATTAAGCGCAGTTACAAACACAACAATTCATTTATAAAAATGCGAATAAACTTTTTCCGATTATTACACTAGGCTTTAAAACATAAAAAGCGTAATAATTAAAAGTTATGACCGTAACCGTAAACTCTTGCGGAAGACTTATTTAAAATATTTATATAACTTACTTTACTTATTATAAGTTACTAAGGGGTTACCATAAACCCACTTAGCCAATTTCTCAACTTTACGTTTTTACCTTTCCGAACATGGTTCACTAATTAATTTTCTGCGAACTCACCGCTCACAATCAGACCATCTTTTCTAGTTATATTTTTTTCTTACTTAATTCCATTTCTAAGAAGCTATCACACACTTTAATGGGAGCTCGTTTGCTCCGGCTATCGCCGTTTGAAGTTGGATAAGCAAAACAGCCAACCAACCCCAAAACAGCTCAAAACCTCTCTCGCTCCACGAATTACTGCAGCAAATTCACTAATCCCATTGCTCTCAAATTTTTATGCTACAAACTAGACACCTCAACCTTCAATTTTATACATCATACGCTTAATTTTACTGAGAAAAGAAGCGGGAATTAATTTCCCAAAAACTGCCAGAAACAGCCCCTGCATAAGGGTGTTCTGGACAGTCCGTGTTCAATAAATCCTACAGAGATACGTACAACCCAGAATTTTCTCATATTTTAACACCACGTAGGGGACATCTCAAGATTTAAAATGGCATATGGCACGTCCCTATCGGACCTCTGTGGAGGGATATATGATCTCTCAAAG